AGACGATGTTGTATAGTGTTATTGTGAGATGTCGATAAAGACGATGTTGTATAGTGTTATTGTGAGATATCGATAAAGACGATGAAGATAAATTATTATCGCGAGATGCTGATAAAGACGATGTAGGTATGTTGTTATTGTGAGATGTCGATAAAGACGATGTTGTATAGTGTTATTGTGAGATGTCGATAAAGACGATGTTGTATAGTGTTATCGTGAGATGTCGATAAAGACGATGTAGGAATATTGTTTTCGCGAGATGTCGATAAAGACGATGTCTGTATATTATTATCGTGAGATATCGATAAAGACGATGTCTGTATAGTGTTATTGTGAGATGTCGATAAAGACGATGCTGTATAGTGTTATTGTGAGATGTCGATAAAGACGATGTTGTATAGTGTTATTGTGAGATGTCGATAAAGACGATGTTGTATAGTGTTATTGTGAGATATCGATAAAGACGATGAAGATAAATTATTATCGCGAGATGCTGATAAAGACGATGCAGGTATGTTGTTATTGTGAGATGTCGATAAAGACGATGTTGTATAGTGTTATTGTGAGATGTCGATAAAGACGATGTTGTATAGTGTTATCGTGAGATGTCGATAAAGACGATGAAGGTAAATTGTTATCGCGAGATGCTGATAAAGACGATGTAGGTATGTTGTTATTGTGAGGTGTCGATAAAGACGATGTTGTATAGTGTTATTGTGAGATGTCGATAAAGACGATGTTGTATAGTGTTATCGCGAGATGCTGATAAAGACGATGTAGGTATGTTGTTATCGCGAGATGTCGATAAAGACGATGTTGTATAGTGTTATTGTGAGATGTCGATAAAGACGATGTTGTATAGTGTTATCGTGAGATGTCGATAAAGACGATGAAGGTAAATTGTTATCGCGAGATGCTGATAAAGACGATGTAGGTATGTTGTTATTGTGAGGTGTCGATAAAGACGATGTTGTATAGTGTTATTGTGAGATGTCGATAAAGACGATGTTGTATAGTGTTATTGTGAGATGTCGATAAAGACGATGTTGTATAGTGTTATTGTGAGATGTCGATAAAGACGATGAAGGTAAATTGTTATCGCGAGATGCTGATAAAGACGATGTAGGTATGTTGTTATTGTGAGATGTCGATAAAGACGATGTTGTATAGTGTTATTGTGAGATGTCGATAAAGACGATGTTGTATAGTGTTATTGTGAGATGTCGATAAAGACGATGTTGTATAGTGTTATCGCGAGATGCTGATAAAGACGATGTAGGTATGTTGTTATCGCGAGATGCTGATAAAGACGATGTAGGTATGTTGTTATCGTGAGATGTCGATAAAGACGATGTAGGTATATTGTTATTGTGAGATGTCGATAAAGACGATGTCGGTATATTGTTATCGCGAGATATCGATAGAGACGATGTCTGTACATTGTTATCGTGAAATATCGATAAAGACGATGTCTGTATATTGTTATCGCGAGATGTCGATAAAGAGAATAGAGAATCGCGAGGTGGCCTAAGCTACTTATAAACTGTTGTATATATAGATATACTGCTGGCTCAACAATTAATATGTACTTATAACAAAGGTGTTTTAGTTTCTGCTTTTAAGATAGGAAACAAGAGGTACTGATATTATGTGCAGTTGTTCAATATCATTCTTATATTGGACAATGGGAAATTATTATCATGTTTATGTCACAGTTATTTTTATATGTCATTAATAAATGGTCATTGAACAACAATCATTCTTCAGTGTTACAACAAAACAAGCTTCAGTTTCTGAACATGTTACCATGCTAACACAAATAATTATATCTGAAGTGTTGTAGTTTCTGCTTTTGTCATTTAAGACAAGATGCGGTACATATAACAGAAAGAATTATTGAAAACACTGTAGACATACAGTACTTAAAACGGAATGTGTTGTACTAGATAAAAAATATCCACGGTTCCTAGACTGTCAAATATTCCTTTCTCAGTACAGTTACATGAAAATACATTTTTACTTTTGTAAGATTAAATGATAAGTATTCACAATATGAAAAAATGGATCAAAAACTGACTGTGGAAGTCTGGAGGATCAGGGAACGTACAACCCGTTAGGTCGTGGCGTTAAACTCGCACGAAACATCAATTCCTTCTAGCTTTGTCGACTCCGTAGCCATAATATTTCCTTGTTTATCTCGCTTTACACCTGCACATAATCAAGATAGGTCCTCAAGCGACATGATATTAGGCGTGTCTGCTTCCAAGATGTTTGGATTGGCGTGAAATCCTTAGATGTTTCTCATTAGAGTCTATAATCAACAGTAATGAAGGAACACGCTGTCAACATTGGTAATAAAAATGTTTGTGATACAATTTCTGACTTGGATAATTGGGTCCATATGAATATAATCGTCATAGACTGATTGCATTTGATAGTGGTTGAGTTCATATAAAAAGAATTTGTCATGCACTATCTGACTTCGATATTGAAAGTCCGTGTGAATCAAACGGAATGCGAAAGTACAACTTTTCTAACGTTCGTATGATGTTCAATGAATATTTTTTACGTAGACATACTAATTCGCTAATGTGTACACGTAGGCTTCCTACACAATATGATTCATCTTGGGATGTTCTGTGAATATTTAATAAAGGGTATTTCAGTAATTCCTTATATTTTGTACAGTTATGCAATCACATAACGTTACACGATGTGCGATGTGCACGCCATGTCTGCACGATTTACGTATGCTAATAAAACTAAACAAAATAAGCTATCGGACATTTGTGCGCAAGTTGTACGGATATATCGCGCAGATGTGCGGTTCTACCAAGGTTGATATAAATTTAGAAATTATTTATAGACAAGTGTGTGGTAAGGTATTTTTAGTTTTCTAACGTTATAAAAATACAGTTAAGTATACTTCCTAATTAAGCCGTATATATATAAGTAAGACACGTGTAAATATATACAGACTGAAAAGTTATTTACGCTCGTAATTTTTGTTTACAAAGTGCCACACGTGACCGGTCCTAGTGTGCAGACAACCATCATATATACATTTTATATGTTAACAATAAATGGACTTGCTTTATCGTCTCGGCAATGAATCATTTAAAATCTTATACCGTTAGAAAAGTTTTTTCCTTTCGTCTGTTTATTATACGTGAAACCTAGACGGTACGGATCCAGACCTGCCACGTACTTTGTATATACCCGTAGACAAGTTAATTTTATTGTTCAAGGCACATCAATCGTTCCTCTGTGAGGCATGAAACTATACGATAGTACAGTATCAGATACACAGTCCTGTGTTATTTTCAAAACTGTCGAATTAAATATTTGATAGGCATATGATCGCTGTTTAGTCATAACTTCACGAGTTTTCCGTTTAATTTCAATCCGTAATATTTTTCAACCGATTTTACCATACTGCGCAAAAAGTGCGATCCTACCGCAAAGTTATGCGCTAGATACTAAATGCTGATATGGCGCGTGTATGCGGACGATTTATGCACGGTGTGCGCACGATGTTTATAGTGCGTTGTGCATTAACGCAACTGTATAATACTATAGATATTTTAACACACACCACTGTGGTGTCAATCCTAATCATCACAACATTATGATCACATAAAATTTTCTCCTTTAATCCTAGACATTTATATCGTAATTTTATGTCATTAATATTGACACTAAATAGATATTGATGACTTTTTATCAGTAATGTGTCCAGGTGATGTATTTCCACGTCCGGACTTACCACATCATGGAACGTAAGGCGATTATAGGAACAATAAATGTAACACGTGCTACCAATACAAGCGGATCGTTTTGGTTAAGATGATGTGGTTTGATACCGGCATTTTAAAAGTATTTAACACAACAATTGGAACATCGTATACAAAATGTTAGAACTATTTTTCATTATGAAAGCTGTGAATTAAACTACACACCCTTTGTGATTGTATCGTTTATTTTGAGAATTACAAAATTAGAGTTAGTTCACAATATTTCTTACATGTACGTATGTATGTTTTAAAATTCCGACGCTTTATATAAACGTACCACTTACAAGCTTACATAAGCACATTTGAAATAAAATATTACCTTTGCATATTTGTAGACCTCTCATTAGATCATTCTTACAATACTTTTGTCCACAATTCCTACATTATCAATTTAACGATAACTTATTTACATAATATATTACTCTTGCATATTTATAGAACTCTCGTGAAATTATTTTTACAATGATTTTTTGACAATATCTACAGTGCCCATTTATTGATATTATCAGTTGTAAGTTGTTTTTTATCTACTGCATGTTACACTTAACATGAAATATTATTTTTGATTTACATTAGAATTAATATCCTGTGATATATAAAGTATACAACACATGCCGTATCTAAGAAAATATGATAAATGACCTAGAAAATTAAAAATACGACGGGAAGGTCAATTAATGATAAGTTGAGAACGACGTGCGTCGTTAGTTATGACATGTTAGTGACGACGACGACGACGACGACGACGATGATGATGATGATGATGATGATGATGATGATGATGATGATGATGATGATGATGATGACGATTGCTTTTCGTCTCCGTGATATGTTACTGCCAATTGAATTTATTATATAGGGTGAAATAACTATTTATAGACTGTTAATCAATACATATGTCGTTACTGGGTTTATCACCAGAGTTATTGTTCATCTATAACAAGAACCCGTCACTGCCATCACATTCTGACTAGATAAATCTACCACTTGTTTGTAACATTTAATTATAACTGGCTCCTGTCCACTATATATATATTTACCACTTCTCAGATCTCTCCATGCTTTTTAACTATTTTTAACATTCTACTTTTGTTTTTTCACCTATTAAAGTGTTTTAACAGAAATAAACACTATGTACTCTTCACAGACGAAGATGTAGTGAGTTTAATTTACACATACTGAAACATCATATACTCCTGCTTTCAGATCTGGAACTCAGTCTACATATTGGTGGTCAGTATCAGTACTCTTGTTTTCTTCATGGCGTCCATGGCCGAATACAGAAGTGACCTCTACTTGTCTATCCTGCGTCCGGAACACGTCAACTACAGTATACCATCCGAGAAGCTCCGAATCTACTACATGAAGGATATGGACCCAAGTTTGTTCGTGGTGGAGTTCATGTGTATGCTGATTTTCACAGCAGAACTCGTTCTAAGTTTCGTGTTATGTCCCTGTCGTAAACAGTACATGTGCAGTCCTATGAAGACAATATCCTTAGTTCTCGTCCTTAGTATGTGGTTAACATTCGCATTTGAGTTTTACAAAGGTGATATGATTGAATCTCAAAGCACAGCCATATTTTTCATGATTGTCCGATTCTTCACAGTATTACGGGTTCTCTTATTTTTGCGACTACAAAAACAGTTCAGTGCTTTCCGCGTTTTATTGTTTGCCATACAATCAAGCCTAAAGGAGTTGTTTCTGTTATGTATAACATTCAGTGTAGCAACTGTCATCTTTGCATGTGCTATATTCTATGCTGAGATATTTCATGATGGTACATATGACAATCTCTTCATCGCTATGTGGTGGGCCATCATCACCATGACTACGGTTGGTTACGGTGATTTTTTTCCGACGACAGCCATGGGTTACGTCGTTGGCGTGTTGTGTGCAGTGAGTGGACTGCTATTATTGGCAATGCCTGTTGCAATCATTGCTTCTAATTTCGCAGATTATTATACACATAATAAAAATAGAATCCGCTATTTAAATTCAGTTCGAGAAGAAAAGAAATTTGTAACGGACGAGAAAAATAAATACAGTAGGAATATTAGTATCAGACCAGCGATGTTAAATGACGACAAAGAACAAAGAGAATGAGAAACAATTTTGGTTTCTCCCTGGATATTATAAACTTGCTATTAACAAACGAAAATATAGCGCAATACCAGAATGCTGTTGTGTTTGCAGTGTGGTCTAAACACTTGTGAGAAATGTCGTTGTTGTGTATTAACGTTGATCTAGGTTTCAACTAACGACAGTGTGATCCATGGAAACAATTGTTACATATTTAATACGTGTGCCTGTGTTATTTTTATATATTTGTGACTGTATACATGTAAGTGTCTGAATTGACGTTCCTATCAAAACGAATGATTCTTGTAGACATGATAAATGTTGTATACACTACGTATTTGCTAGATGTATGTTACAGTAGTCTCTAACTGTAGTTTGGCACGCATTTCTCGTACGTTATCATACACCGGTAAATTCGTGTCAGAATCAAATCACTCATCTATAATAACGGCTTTAGAAGCAACTTAGAGAAACTGCAATTTACGCAATGATTTCTGCTCGAAAAACGTAAAATGATACAACCACTGAAATAGTAATGTTCACTTTGTATTTCGTGAAATTAAAACTCCAATGGCTTGTGATTGGTTCAAAATTAAGTAACAGTTATACGGCTATTTTGTGTGCAAAGAAAACCTGGTGTTTGTATGTTCCATATCCATTGTTGAATTAAAAGCAGAGCGTGCAATAGACTGAAATTGCTCTAAAATGAATATGTTTTATTATTGATGTTGTAACAGACCGGTGTCGATATACAATGACATTGGGCGCTATATTGGTATTGACACAATTGTTTATTCATCCCCTAGTGGAATAAACACTTGAGAAATGTAAACAAGTCGTTGCTAGCTCCAACATAAAATCGATGGAATGGATACAAAGCATTAACAAAAGAACTTTTTACATGTATACCAATTAGGAAAAGGACAAGAACATCAGAATTAAGCATTAAATATTAATGAAACAATTAAAACCGTGCTGATATATAAGCAAGGTCCAGTTCGGAATCGGATCGAGGGCGTACGAATGCAAACATGACCAAACCTACAGTAATAACAAACAAAAACTAGTAGTAATGAGTTAACAGCTACAGCATATTTCTTGGAATTTCTGTTCTGGGACCATTACTGTTCTGGATAACATTTGTCCATGGTTTAATTTCTGTCCCGGGACCATTACTGTTCTGGATAACATTTGTCCACGGTTTAATTTCTGTCCCGGGACCATTACTCTTCTGGATAACATTTGTCCATGGTTTAATTTCTGTCACGGGACCATTACTGTTCTGGATAACATTTGTCCATGGTTTAATTTCTGTCCCGGGACCATTACTTGTATCTGTTTTGGCTAAAATCTGTCCACGATTTAATTTCTGTTTAATATTGTGATAATATTTTGTCGATAATTTACATGCATTTTGTGCTGTTTAAAAAAAATCACTGAATCATTTACGAAAACCTAGTATTTAAACTGTACCTAAACGTCACTGCTACCCCGATGGTTATATAATCACATATGATGTCAGTATGAATGATTCTTTTTTATTCCCATGCTCCATGGGAGCTCAAGTAAACAGTAAGTTTGGTTATATAACAGGCTTGGAATTTTCAGGTAAGAAATATTGTACGACTAGGAAGAAAGGCTGTGTTAACGATTGTACCCCCTTAATGATGAAGTGTCTCTTCCTATTTCCCTCGTGATAGACAACAAACGTCTGATGACTTCGGAGTTCATTGAGCAAATACGCATAATGGCATGACGTGCAGTCTACGTAATTGTTCTCAGCAGTTTCCATGCCCTTGAAATGGGTCCGTTTATAGATGTAGTAACGATGTTAGCTTAACTTTATATCTACATTATTCCTTGTGCAGTGTGAATGTTAGGACTATCTACGTCATACATATACAACAGATAGTACTGATTAATCGTACGTCGATTCACACCTTAATACAAAATGAAGAGTGAAATACCGCAGAGCTAGACAATGGATCAAAATGCATCCTGTAGTTGTTTCGTCCTCCTAAAGACTCGTCAGTGTCGTCTAGATTTTGAAGCCTAAGAGTCGAGTGCGGAAGTACTTTATGCTATTTGTCAATAAAAATGAAAAACAGAAGATGGCTAATATCTGAGAATCAAAGCTGCCATAATTTCTCAAAAAAGTAATTACTGGTCACTATCATCAGACTTATAACACGGATTATGTTCTGATGTGTCCATACTGATATGGCTACAATCGAGTTACTGGCATACTTTATACAATGTGTTTACATATACATGTACTACTGACAAGAAAGATAATATCATGAAATATCCCATATTTTTCGTACAACGCTAGAGCGTTTGTGGGGTTTTTTGTTGGATCAACTTATCCATGTCGGGATTGTCAGGACGAGAAGTTACGGTAACTGGAAACAGTTTGTCAGGAAATCAATATTTTGGAATAAAGATAACGTAATATTGGTTAAATGTTGACAGATTCTGAAGTTTAAAAATGTAGAATTAAAAAACAAAAGAACGCAGCCATTTTGGCATTGTCCAGATTACGACATTACAATCGATTTCTAACTTAAGCAGCCAATGAAACATCGCTGACAAGTGACGTATACACTTTTTTGGTTGTTACTAGACTGGTCCGCGAGGAGTGTGAAACATGATTGGTACTAGGATCAAAAATCAAACGTACAATCATCCCTGTATATATACAGAGAGTAGAATATTTCTACATGTGGTTATATCGCAAACAAATAGAAGACTTGAAGGAATTTTTCGTTCATATTACAGATATTCATCATCCCCTCAAGGGGTTGATCCTTACGATCTTGCCTCATCTTATTTGATTATCTATTAAATAACTTCTATGAAAGAGACACCTCCTTTCATAGATATTAATTAAGGGATCAGGTCAGCAGATAGATGAACAGTAAACTCGATTATAACGAATTTCAAGGGACATTTGACTTTAATTTGCTGCACGAGTTCAGTATGTAGTTAGAACGAAGGGAGGCTAAAACAAAATGTGTTGTAAGCCAAGCTATGTCTAAACACGGCATACCGTTACGTGTTTCAAACAAGTCAGACATCAATAATTATACAAACAAATGACTTTTTTCAGCACTTTCTACACTTACAAATCGACACACGATTCCATGTCTAAGTTTTAAACGGTATATCCAACCATTTGTGGGCTTATAACTTGTGTCCCCAATTCTCTGTGTCAATTCTGCAGATTTGGTTAATAATTCAGGTCCAGACATCGGAATATTTTGAGTTCGTTTCATCAAATCATTGAACCAAAGCTTTGTTCAGTGATTCGTGGCTTCCGCTTCTTAACCGTTTTCGACTTGGCGATACTGACAATGAAAAATGAGTAATGATGTCATCTCTTTTTTTGAATTGTACTTAATGAACTCGCTATGATTTCAAAATATGCAGCTTGTTTTAGTTTTTCTCTTCGTCAATGGGTGAAATAATCATGTACTTCGTCTCCAGTGTCAAAGCCTTACGTTTACACGACGGCGAAGTCACTACTGAAGCATTTAGAATTTACACGTGCAAACAAAGACATCCCAGGGAAATAACACCTTAACACTGAGCAGTATTCACTTTTTTATTTTACCTGTAGAACTAGTGTACCGATCTACTTAACGCTTCGATATTTTCCCTTGGGGAGCCCCATTATATCATTACACAGAAGTCAATGATACGTGAAGGACATCAGCTGAGAAAACGCCCAGGTAACTTTTTATGGTTCAGTAACGATTCGTTGTGCGAGTGTTGAAAATTAAATATTCCCGCGTTTCGGTAGTATAGCGGGAATAGTTCGTCTTCTCAGGCACGTAGAGCACGTGCGTATGCCCAGGTAAGGGTGGGTGCGCGGGTGAATAGTCATTCTCTAGCTCTCCGTCTAGCAGTGCAGTCCAGTTAATGTCTCTATCATATATATAGTATCATAGTTTCTACCATGCAGAACGATTCATTATGCACACTGTCGGACCAGATACAGGCTGCGGTTGGAAAGTCACAAAACGAAATACTCGGGCATTTGGATACATTAATTTCACAAAAGTTGAGCTCGTTTGAGAGAAAAATGTGTGAAAATTCTGAGGCATCTTTAAACAAGATACAAGAAACAATTCAGTGTACGGATACCTACAAATTCAAAAAGAGAAGTTGCGAGGAACAGTACAAGTTCAATACCAAAGTGCGCGGGAAATTATTGGACGCCGCGCAGGCCGTCAGTACGGACATGGACACCGCCAGGCTTAAGATACAGGAGGGTATGTCGCTTATAGACTATCGCAACAAGCTAATTAAGTTGGCGGACAGTTCTGAAGCAGGCTGGAAAACCGTCGATGAGTATGTAGCAAATCCTATAGCGTCGGACTCCGACGATGAAAGGAAAATCGACAGGGCCAGCTCCAAGGCAGTTAAAAAGGCAAAGGCGGAAAAGTTAAAGTCCAGCAGGGGAAGACAGCGTTTCAACCCTTATCAAAGAGAGACTTTTGTGTCCAGGAGCCAGACAAACGCCGCTACTACGACCGACAGAACAGGTCCTTTCCCACGGGGCGGGACCAAGCCCGGTACATGCTTTGGGTGTGGAAAGGCCGGACATTGGCGACAAGAGTGTCCGGAAATCAAAGGAGTCGCCTCGGCTGTATCCGGATATAAGATAAGTGGTTCTTTATTTGATATGCATGAAAAAGTATCGGCGAAGCAGGACGCAGGTAAGGTAGGGGCGACACAGGACGCTCCACGTGTCACATGTGATACTTCGCCAGTGGGGCGCTTGAAGGGTAAGAGCCAGTATTGGGCAGACCAAGGTACCATTGAAGTAGTACAATCTATCATCGAGAGAGGTTATAAAATTCCTTTTCACGAAATTCCACCAAGGGTGTCTTTGTCAAATAACAAAACCGCAAAAGATAACCCCGATTTTGTCGTGGGGGAGATAACTAAGCTTTTACGGTTAGGTTGTGTGTCGGAAGTTTCGTCAGAGCCCGCGGTCATAAATCCGCTCACTGTAGCTTTCAATCAATCAGGTAAGCCC